TCTTTCTTTCTTTCTTTCTTTCTTTCTTTCTTTCTTTCTTTCTTTCTCTCCTCCCTCCCTCTGATCTGTGTGTCTACCTCAGTTTCTGCCCTGATGCCCCTCCCCACCCTGACGCGCGCGCACGCACACACACACACACACACACAGTATAAACCCTCATCCTGGAACTTGCTCTGTAGTGGAGACTGAAGAGCCACATCCTTGCTAGTCTCTTCCTGGCACAAATTTACAAATTCATGTTGTCACTCCCCTCCACCCTTCTCCTCTTTTTCTGATTTATTTTTTACTTTTTATTTTTCTCCCTTCTTCTTTTGAGATGAAGTCTCACTGCAGCATAAGCGAGGCTTGAGCTCATAGCAGCCCTCCTACCTCAGCCTCCTAAGGCTGGGATCACAGGCCTGAGCTGCAGGGCCTGGCTCAAGCCTGCTTTATGGACCAAGATGTCTGACCTGCTTTCCCCCAACATGGGACAGCAGGGAGTTGCTCCTGGTGTCTGCTGTTTCTCTGTTGCCTTTAACTCATGTCGGCCAGGCATGGTGGCGCACACCTTTGATCCCAGCCCTCAAAAAGCAGAGGCAGGTGGATCTCTGAGTGAGTGCTAGGCCAGCCTTTCTCTACAGAGAGAGTTCCAGGACAGCCAGAGCTACATAGGGATGCCCTATCTCAAAACAACAAAACAAAACAGAATAAAGATAATGATCCTATGTGAATGTAGCATATTTGGGGGTGTGTTTTGATCCTTTCAGTCCCTGCCTAAGTCTCTCTCTTAGCACCTTCATGCACACAGACACCTCCATGTCTACCTGATCTGGGTCTCCTGATGCTGCAGGGAGGGAATCTGAGTCTGCCCTGCTCTGAGGCTCCACAGCGGCTGCCTTGCTAGCCCAGTCCTGTCTCTGTAGTAGCAGGCTTCCGCCCGGAGCACTCTTCCTGGAGGAGTTGTTGGGTTTAGGTTTAGTTGGTTGGGGGATTGTTGTTGTTGTTGTGGGTTTTCTTGTTTTGCCTTGTTTTGTTTAGGGTTACGTATTCTGATTTTATGTGTGTGGGCATTTCATTTGGATGTATGTCACTGTGCCTTGTGTGTGCAGTGTCCGAGGAGGACAGGAGAGGGCATCAGATCCCCTGGAACCAAAGTTAGGAATGGCTGTGACGCACCATGTGGGTGGGTGCTGGGAACTGAACCCTGGTCCCTACAAGAGCAGCAAATGCTCTTAGCTGCGCTCCAGCTCCCAGAAGAAGAAAGGTTCTTTTTGTTCTGTTTTTGTTTTTTGAGACAGGGCTTCTCTGTGTACCCTGGCTGTGTACCACCTGCCCCTGCCTCCAAATGCATGATTAAAGTCATGCACCACCACCACCACAAATTTTCTTTTTTTTTGGGGGGGGGTGGTGGTGGTTCAAAACAGGGTTTCTCTGTGCAGCTTTGGCTGTCCTGAACTCACTTTTGTAGACCAGGGTGGCCTTGAACTCAGAGATCTGCCTGCCTCTGCCTTTCTGAGTGTTGAGATCACAGGCATGCACCACCACGCCTAGCTCAGAAGGAAGTTTTAAATCTAAGCTGAAGTGCTCTGAGATGGGTGGCAGGTTGGGGCCATGTTGCCAGTGGTGGGCTGATGGCTGGTGCTGCCCTCCCCCACCTGCATGGCCCCTGTCCTGAGTAGAGGCTGGAGCTCAGCTCCAGGTGACACGGGACAAGATAGAGCCTCTTCCTTTAGAGTTTTCCTCTCTATCCTGACATCCTGCTCCAAGCTTGGTTGTGTCTGCTCCGTGTCCCATTCTCGTCACTCTCCATGAAACACCCTGCGCAGGTATGTGAGTAGGGAGCCTTGCTGAGCCCCTGAGAACTGCGGCGAGAGCCCGTTTACAATCTGTACTCTTTGCTCAGCACATTCTTTTTTGGATTTTGCACCAGGTCTCTCCTCGTGGGGTGAGATCTTTGTCAGATGATGAGAATCACTGCAGCTAACACACTCCCCATGAGAGGCCTATGAATCCACGCACTGTCTATCTGTGTGACTGTGGCCCTCCTTTTCCTCTGGGCGTTATTTTTATCTTGGTTGGTCCCACTCTGAATGTGTCTTTTATTATAAACAATTTTATAGATGTCGGGGGAGGGGATGCACAATGAATTCTAACTAAGGAAGGAGAGACAGTATTGGACACATCCCTTCCTCAGGGAAGGGGCTGTTGCCGTAGGGATGAGACTGGACCTGAACATCATCTGCCAGCATTACCAGGGGCAGCTGGATTTTGGGTTTACTTTTGTTTTTGAAGCTAGGTCCCATGTGAGCCAGGCAGGCTTTGAACTCACTATGTCAACAAGAATGGGTCTTTTAAAATTTTTTTTGTAAGGCACACACTTTTACCAAAAATACAGGACACTTAGTGAATTCATGTATCATCCTTGCACAAGGCCATGCTGATCTGCTCTGTATTGTTCCAATTTTAGTGTGCGTGCTATTGAAGTGAGCACCCAAGGATGGTCTTAAACTGGTCCTCTTCCCCTCCCACTCCTGAATGCTAGGATTGTAGGCACGTAGCAGAGCGCCACACTTGTTAGACGAGCACTCCACCAGCTGAGCGACGTTCCCAGCCGGCAGCAGCTTTTAGGGAGTGCAGGTGGCCCTCGGTGGGGCAGGCGGCAGGGTCGTAGAACACTGTGTCCCTGAGACTGCCTTCTTCGGCCGTGAGGGTGGGCTTGACCTGCTCAAGAAGAGTTTCAGGGAAGAGCGAGAGTTGGAAGGTTGGAAGCGTGGAACATTCTGCCCTGACACGAGCTTGCATCCTCTACAGAGGCGGGACCAGCCTCGCTGGAGCTCTGTCCTGCCCAGCTACTCCATGTTTGTGGACTGAAAGGAGAGTATTGCTAGAGAATGGGGCTGGCTTATCCCTAAACTCCGGGACCAGGAGAGTCCCTATCCTGTCGTAGGGCCTCACCCTGCATCCTCCCCAGTTGCCATGGCCTGGCTTCCTGCAGTCATCTCTGTGGGTCCCTCTCCCTTGACCACTGCCTCCCATTTCCCTGTGAAAAGTTGACAGCGGTTACCCCATACCTGCCCCCTCCCAGGAGCCCCAGATGGATTGTTCAGGGTTGTACCCCTGGAAGAAGCCGGCCAGGGGCCAAATGTCCATTTGCTGGCCTGAGCTCACTAGGTAACCACACATTCTTCGCTGTTGCTCTCTCCTCCCTCCTTGCCCAGTCTCCTGTCCCTCTCTATCCTCTTTCTGCGGTTTCCATCTCAGCACAGGGCACCTTCCCTTTGAAGCCAGGTCTCCACAAGAGGCAGGCACTGGGCTGGGCAGGCTGCTGGAGTGTTTTCAGTGCAGGCCCGGTGCCCACACTTCCCAGGGCTGGCCTCTGACTGCCAGCGTCCTTTCTGCTTAGACGATAGCCAGTTGTACCCACTGCACTGTGGACAACAATTAAGGCACTGAAGGAAGGCCTGAGATTTAGTGTGCAGAGCCTGGGTTGCCACTCACACCTGCCTGAACCCTGGACTCCAGCTGGCCAGAACCTTTCCACTCGTCCTGCGGCTTCTCCGCATCCAGCCTGGGAGGAAGGTCCAGCTTGGCTATGAAGGACTTGCAGAGCTTGTCCTGGCTCCTCATCAGGAGTATGCTGTTACTAGGAGACAACCGGAGCATCACAGCAGCCCCCAGGGTAAGCGACAAGGAAGAAGAGTGTTCTCCCAAGCCTGCTTTGCTGGCCCCACCTGGACATAGAGGTCCTGACCTGAGGACCTTTGTCTGGCTGTGGAGCAGGGAATTTTGAAGACAATGTAAATAAGAAACACCCCAGAAAGGGCCTCCTCTACAGGGGGCCTGGAGATGACCTGTGCTTCTTGCTCTCGGAACTTCATTATGCCTGTGTGTGTGTCTCTGTGTGTGTGTATGCATATGGAGGTCGGAAGACAAGCTATGGGAGTTTTCTCCTCCCACTGTGTGGGTCCTGGGATCAAACTCAGGTCTTGGTGCCAACTCTAATCTGCTGAGCCATTGTGCCTCTGGACTTTGAATGACCCCAGCCATCTCACTGGCTCTTGGGACCACTTTCAGGCCCAGGATCTTTGCTATAGAAATGCAAACCCAACTGGCTCAGGGTGTGATGTGCAATGCATTTGGGGCTTAGCTGCCACTTCCTCCCCTGGAGGAAACAAAACTTGTGATAACAGTGTGGGTTTGGTTGACAGCTGTTCCTCAGAGAGGGAAAGGCTAGTTCCCACACTCCCCATCAGTCACGTGTGTCTATTCCCTCCATTTATCCCTTCCCTAGAGCCCCTGGGCTACACAACTGTGAGGAAGAACTAGTCTTCCTGCAGACCGTGGGAATGCCACCCCAGGAGTTAACGCAGGGTTAGCCCATGCAGCTGGACATGGCAGCCCCAGGCCCAGCTTTCTTCTGTGATCTTTTGTCTGGCTGTTGTGACCTTCTGTCTCTAATCTGCCCCCTCTAGTCTGGCCTAACGCCTTCTGTGTGTCAGGGCCCCAGTCCTTCCCGTCAAGTCCTTCTCCCTCAGCTCACTACGAACATCCTCTGCAAACACAGGGACCCTGAGAGGAGAATCCTGCCCATGACATGGGTGGACGGTGTGGTGCTGGGCAACCCGAGTAGCCTCTCTGAAGCCAGTACCCTTATTTGAAAAAAAAAAATAGTGATAAAATGCCCATCAGATTAGAATTGTTTTTGTTGCTATTCATCGCTGGATTCGGAGCTTCAGGAGGTCAGGGCTATCTCCAGTTCATCTCTGTCCCTACCTCCTGCCTGCTGCTTTGTGTCCCTGGCAACAGGTCCTCCTACCTGCAGAGGAGGTCCTCCTTCTGCCTCTGCTGGATTCGCTGGGGGCAGCCTCTGCCCCAGCAGGCTTTACTAGCCCTCTGACCTAACCAGAAGCAGCTCTCCCCTGTATCAGGATAGCCCTGTCTCATATGATGGGCTGGGCCTTAGGGCCCTAAATGTGCCACAGGGATACTTGGGCCTTTGCCATGCCTTCCTGTGATCCCTAGAGCTGGGAGAAGAGGGGCAGATGCATTCAAGTCAGCGACTCCTGCTTTCTGGCCACTCTCACCTTCAAGGTACACCTTCCCAAAGGAAGAAAAGGCAGGTGCCCCAGTGCCCACCTGGACAGGATGAGTGGCTCCTCAGGCCCTGCCCAGTAGCTAAAGCCTGACTGGGGCTGGGGAAGGGCACTTCAAGTTCATTGGTAAGGTACCCATTGGAAAAACAAACAAACATCTGGGCTGGGTGTGGTAGTACAGGTAATCCCAGCACTGAGGCAGGAGGTGAGTGTTCTAGGCCAGCCCAGGTTAGGAAGCAGGAACTTGTCTCAAAGCAACAGCAGGGACACTTGGACCTTTGCCATGCCTTCCTGAAAATAACAGTCATTCTTTGGACCAGATGGAGAAGGAGCACTGAAGGCCCATGAATGACACCTCAGCTTGTGAAACATAACATTTCAAGTTCTTAGGACAGGCTGTAGAGAGCAACCAACCAACCAACCATGTCTCTCGATCAATCCTGGGGGAGGGGCAGGTTTCCCTACCTGCCTGCCCTTCCCAATAAGGAAGATCTTGAGGGAGCCAGGCAACATCCCTCCAGCCTCAGCTTGTCTGTGAAATGGGTGCCGTCTTGCTGTACCCCTGGACCTGCTGGAATGGTTTTAGGAGGTACAGGTAGAGCCTTTCAGTGTTAGCTAGGGAGTGGCTGTAAGCATTCATACTTCAGTTCTATTTCCTGTTGTCCATCTCCCCTTTCTCCTGTGACTAGCTACAGGCAGTGGCTTTTTCCCTAGGACTGTGCATGCGTGTGTGTGTGCATGCATATGTGTGTGTGTGTTTTATTATGACAGGAATTAGCCAGTGGGTTTTGGCAAACAGCACTGTGTTGCGGCTCCCAACTGCTGAGCCCGAAAGCTCCCTCCCCACCGCTGGCTTTAACAGCCTCCCCACCAAGTTCTTGGTCCTCACTCCCCACAGCCGCACCCCAGAGGTACAAGGGAGGCAGTAAAACCCCTCCCCAGCCTGGCATGGTCTCTGACCCAGACACCATCCACCGTCTATACCTCCAGCACCCCATGGACCCTTCAGGAAGTCCCTAAAACCCATAGCTGAAAAGCACCAGGCCAGGCGAAGCAGGCTACTTCCGGGCACTTGGCTGCACTGGGTACTCTGGGAATCCTCAAGGCGATAGACTGGTTTCCTCAGGACAGCACCCCTCTGAGCTTGACCAACCAAGCCTGTTTGGGTTGTCAAAAGGAACAGGGAGAATGTTTGCGCTCAGGCTTGACCAGGGAGGCCATTCTTCTCCCCTGGGGTTCCATGGGACATTTGAGACATTCACAGGTCTTGCCGCCCCTCCTGTGGCTTGCATCTATGTATAGACCACCCAATCTGGGTGTGTACAAATTCCTATATTCTGACGTCCAGGCAATTTATCCATATGCCCAGGCTGCTGGGCACTCCAGTAGGTCACACACTGGGTTCACCTGGGGAGCCTTAAAACCTCCAGATTTAATTGGTCTGCAGTTTCACCAGACATTGGGAATTTGCCAAGCTGCCCAGGTGGTTTTAAGGTGCAGCCAGCTATATGGATGGGTGCACACCAGTCAGGGTCAGGAGGACCCATTTGAATTTGAAATCTTGGAACAGGCCCAGTAAGGCCAGAGGAAAACAGGGCCCCAGCACTGGCTGGTTGCAAGGCCCAAGCCAGGCAAATCTACTCCAGTTCTAGCTGGGGTCATAACTCGCCCCACACCATGGCCTGAAAGGTTCTTTTCCCAGAGCTTCAGTTTGTGTGGGCATCATGTGGGAGGTGGGTCACGTGTGCCACCGTGTATATGTCAAGTATGGGTACAGAGATCAAACCCAGGTCTCCAGGTTTACAGTGCAAACACCTCCTCCTCCTGAGTCATCTTGTTGGCCCCTCAGCCTTAGCTTTGGACCTCAAACAAAAGCCTTGGTTGAGCCTGATCATGAAACCAGCTCTGCTCTTTGCCCACTGCTAGCTCAGGATTCCAATAAACCATTCCCAGAACTGTAAAGCTCAAGCCGTCAAGGAGGGCAAGCCATCAGGGCTTGGTCCTGTTATAGAGCAAGACCCCAGAGTTCTAGGCAAGGAGCCTAGAACCTTAGCCCTGCCCCTTGTCAGCTCTACTGCCTTATCTTGCCCCCGAACCCCCCAGTCTCAGTAAACCTGCTTACGTACTGGGTACAGTGGTCCACGGCTGTTTGCAGAGAAATGAAAGTGACATCCCAGCACGTGCTGGTCACTTGGTTGGAATCATTGGAGTTGTTGGGGGGCAGGAGACCCCAAAGAGGTTCTGTGCTGGCTGGAGCTCAACAGTCCCTCAGGCCCTGTGTGGCGGAGCTGCCTGCACTCACCCTCTGCTAGTTCACTTGTTTCTCCTTGCCAGGTCCCCAGCCTGACCTCCATCCCTGTGGCTTCATATATGCAAATGTGGTAGGAGGAGCCCTGTG